GATGTCAGCTTAGGAATCTCAGATCAGTTAGTCCGCCGCTCTCTATGCTGGTGAAAAGGGAGGGTTTTGGTCAGTAATTTACCCTAGTCTACATTCTAGTTACCTCCATCCTAAAAAGTGAGGTGACTGTTTTTATTCTGGGGGGGGTTTGAGGGGAACTTGATTCTTATTTCAGGCCACCACATTCCAAAACATGTGATGAATATTCATACCCAAATGTTACATGTCATGACACTGTTATGACTAAATAGCAACTGCAGCACACACACACACACACACACACACGCATAACCCCCCAACACACACACAACCCCCCAACACACATAAACACACGCAACCCCCCAACACACACACATATGCACACACCCCCAACACACACACACGCACAACCCCCCAACACACATAACTCCCCAACACACGCACACACACAACCCCCAAACACACACACACACACAACCCCCCCCCCCCAACACACACACAGGTTTGTAATTATATCTTTGTGGGGACTCTCTATTCATATCTATGGGGAAAATCCCAACCTTAACCCCAACCCAGCCCTAAACTTAACCATAATTAACCAAACAAAGGCATTTTTAGTTTTTTGTTTGCATTCACAGATATTTGTGGGGACCTGAAAATAGTCCCCACAATGTCAAAATAACAGGTTTTTATTACATTGTGGGGAACATTTGGTCCCACAATGTAATATGAACATAATCCATACACACACACACACACACACACACATAGAGCCATAAACAAGTATTGGTTGTTTCCCAGTATTACTGACCACTGTCTCATCCAAACATGTTAACTGTTCATTCAGTATGAGTTGGTCTTTCTGATCATTCGGGTAATTACCCCCCCGACTGGACGTAAAACAGTGACATCGTCGCGGAAAGGCACCTCATTCAGCTTCATGTTGGATCTGAAAGCCAGGACATATGGTCCCAGTTGCTGCTCACTTTTGTTTGATGGCAAAAACAAACACAGGCTCTTTAGGCCCCTGGCTGCAAAATTGCTGAACAAACAGGAACAAAAGTGACAGAAAGGTGGTAAAATTTCAGTCCCTGGAGCTCGGAGAGGGATGTCGGCATTCCCTGCTGACTAACAAAGGCCAAGCACTATATAAAGACACACACACCCCAGCATCAAAGATTTTCAGATGGTTTGCATATCTGTGATGCTCAAAGTTACTGCACTTGCAGCCAAAATTAAATGGCAAATTATGGGGAACATGAACCTTTAAGACTGGCATCCGTTATAATGGCAAGGAAAGTTACACAAGTCCCAGTACCCCGTGAGAAACAGTAATCCACTCTTACGCTAGATAAGATGTTACAGGGCTTTTTTGTTAAAATAACTGGCTGGGGGCTTTGCTGTACTTATTGACCTGTCCCTCACTGATCTCTGGAGGAATCCTTCCACACTTTACTGCTTCACCTCAGTGACTTCATCTCTCCCCCAGACCCAGCAACCCTGGTCTATGAAGATTAACTTCATCTGTCATGTCTTGCCATAACATTATGGTTTTTGATATGGATTACATTGGTCCAAAACATATTCTTCTCATTCTTCAACCACTCAGGGGTAGACCTGCTACTATGCTTTTGATCATTGCCTTTGGATCAAATGACCCATGTCTTTCAAGTTATGGACTGACAGGTGGACTCTTGTGGAATGCTTTGGTATCAAGCCAAAAAGGTCCACTTTGACTGATTTGTTCATAGACCCTTCCAGAATTGCAGAGGATCTTTTTGATGATTTTGGTGAACCTGAGAGCAGTGATCACATTCTCTTTGACGAGCTGTGGTTTTTGTCTCTCTGCTCTGCAACATTTCCAGCTTCTAGAGGAACACCAACCTCAACAGGGGGGGCAGATACCTGAATGTTGTGTTTAGGGTTCTCTGCTAGTTCCTGAGCTATTTCACAGATTTTGGCAGGACAGCCACTCCTGGTAGGATTCACTGCTGTCCCAAATAATCTCCATTCAGGCTCCAAATGTGGTTCAGTGGAACCCCTGAGCATTGCCAGGTTCCAAAATCCAGCACTACAACTTTTTTTTCCCCGAATTCTTTGGGAGGTCAGATCATGGTCCAACGTGCCTGTACATGTAGGACCTGTGTCCATACCCTTACTGATGGCTCAAATCAGGCCTGACTGAGTAGCAAAATATCCAATCAACTGACTGTAATTATTACCTTATTTGCATTGCAAATAACTAAAGGATAATATTTTTTTTGCATCTAAATATGATTTATTTGGTTACTTTGCAAAACAGGCAAATGAAAACACCCTAAGATTATGGACGTTTTTGGATTTCCTGTCTATACCCATGAATATGAGTCACAATTTGCATGTTGAGGAAAACAGTGCCTGCAAGCTGAGCTGGGTCTCCTAGGTGGATCAGTGTGACTACTACAGGTGAGCAGAAAGAGCTTGGGGTCTGACTGCACTGCTGGTACCAGAGCTGCTGCCTCCAGCTGTGCACATCTGTGAGCAAGATCCCTGCCGGCCGTTTAGCATCCTGACGGTCTGGAACAAATCAATGGGGTTAATATGTTTTCCCTGCCTGCTTTCATTCAGTGTCACACTCTTTCTCCATCATTCCCTTCACTCCCCATCCTCCATGGTGCGCCAGTTCAGTCCATCCCTGACACATGCCATGGTCACCTCCCACAGCGCTGGTGTCAGGCCCGTTTCGTTCGTTTTCACAAATGAACTGAACCTAAAGTCAAGGACTAATTTTTTACATTTGAAGAACAACATAAGTATTCTACTTTCAGGTCTGTCATTGAATAATGGCCTTCTCTCCACTGATTTTCTCAATGGCAGAGACTCACACACACTCTCATACACACACACACACACACACACACATAAATAGTGGTCGAAAAAGTCCTCCTAGTCTATAAATGTTCAGGACACGGCTGAATGTGCTGACACAAAGGTCTGCTTTGTCTGGGAGGGAAACTGTCAGTGCTCTGACAGAGGGGGAGAGATGTTCACCATTAATCGAGCTAGACTTCAGCACGGTATCACCGTAGGCGTGGGAGGAGCGGGGGAGCCTTCTGGAGAAGATTCACTTCAGGAAGAACTATCTGTTTCAGGATGTACCACATGTAGCTAATAATCACAGCTTCATGGCTAATGTCTGCTGTGTGAAATACCCACAGCTTCACCTTTAATGTCTGCTGTATAAAACGACCACAGCTTCACCTTTAATGTCTGCCTTATAAAATGACCACAGCTTCACCTTTATGTCCAGTCATATGATTTGACTGCAACTTCAACTTTAAGGTCTGCTGAATTAAATGACTACGGCTTCACCTTTAAAGTCCGCTATATGAAGAGACCACATACAGCTTCACTGTTATGGTCTGCTATGGGGAGAAACCACAGCTTCACCTTTAAGGTCTGCTGTATGAAATCATCACAGCTTCACGTTTATGGTCCACTGTATGAAAAGAACACAGTTTCACATTTAATGTCTGCCATTTGAAAAGACCACATACAGCTTCACGTTTAAGGTCTGCCATATAAACTAAGCAGATGTTTGCCTTTAAGGTCTGCCCTGTGAATTTTCCACAGCTTTGCTTCTACAGTCTACTGTATGAGGTACCACAGATTCACATTTAATACCTATGAAGGCAGTTTAGGCTGTATGATATGTCCCAGGGTGGAGGGGGGGGGCAGAAGACTGAGAGTATAGACTGTCTAAAAATGAATAATAGAATGGTCCGTGTTTTTGCTCCCACCCAGCTCCTTGCCAGACAGTCCACATTTTTGCTCCCTCCTTGGTCCTCGGTGACCCACATTGGGCCGCTGAGGACCGAATTGGGAAACACTGCCCTAGGCTGTGGGAGTGGACCAGCCCCAAATGTAGGTGCCCGTTAGTGTCACACCTTGTTATGAATTCATTTTAAAACATCCAATTTTTTGTGTTCACTCCCGTGTCTAATCATCATCTGTTTATACAGCTGGTTCTAGTCACTTGGGTTATGGGCAGCAGCTTTCAGTGGCAGCTAAGAAGTCCAGCGTCTCCAATGGCAATGGGGGAGTCGTCTGAACTTCCCGTAAATTTTAATGATTCTGTCTCGGAGACGTGGACTGATGCCACGTGGCTGGGGGCTGGCGACAGGAATATGCAAAACGCACTCAATTATTTCAGCTCAGCTGGAATTTTATGTGTGACATTAATTAGGTGTAGCGTTCTGGGATTAAACTAAATGAAAAGCAATTGATCAGGCGGTGGGACCTGGAGGCGCCATCTTGGAGATGAGAGGACCGGCCAGAGACCTCTCATTCTCTTTCTTTTTTTCCCACCCTCTCTCTCTCTCTATCTTTTTCTGTTTCCCTCCCCCTCTCATACCCTCTCTTTCCCCCTAACTCTGTTGCTCTCTCTCCCTTTCACCCTCTCCCCCCTCTCTTCCTTACTTTCTCTTCCCTCTCTCTCACCCCTAACTCCCTCTCTCGTTGTCTTTCTCCATCCCTCTCTCCATCTCCCATCCTTTCTCTCCCATCCCTCTCTCTTTACCTCTTTATCCTTTTGACCCTCTCTCTCTCCCACTCTGTATCTTAATCTCTATCTCTCCCTCTCACTGTCTTTCTCCATCCCTCTCCTCCCCCTCTCTTTCATTCTCTTTCTCCTCTCCCTCTCTCTCCACCCTGCTCCCTGGCCATCTCCAGCAGCTGCCGTCACATACCCGATCTGCATGCTTGGCATCAGCGCTGACCCACTTCCAGCCACTCGGAGTGCGTTCTCAATTCCTCAGAGGCCTCCCACAGTGACTGGGTCCTGGGGAAGCTGTTGGCACTGCGGTGCACGGAGCTCTGCTGTCCTGCAGCTGGCCATGGCCGGCTCTGGCTGCCACATTCTAGTGTTCTGAATTATGATCACAAAAATGGACTGGCGTCTGAGCTAGGGAGTCCCTTGCCTGTCCTCTACCTCCTGGGAAGTACTACAGAAAATGGATGGATGGATGGATGATTAGTGAATGGTATCTTACTCCTTTTATTGTTGTTTTAATTGCAAGAAAACACAATGGCCCACCTCCATGGTTGTGGGTTTGATTCCCCACCAAGAACACAGGCCTGACTGGAGATGCATGTCCACAACCCTTAGATGCTGAAGCGAGGTCACCACCAGTGATATGTTCCTTTTTTCTCTGATATAAGGGTACAGGGTGAGTTATGGACAATTAAGCCCTCCAGTTCCCTGCTAAGCTGGTAACCAGTTTCCCTCAGGCATAGACACAGATAAGCCTTTGTCCATTTCCTCCCAAAACTCTGAACCCCCCTCCCCCCACCGCTGCCTTCTTCCCAGGAGTCTGACAGCATCCGCCAGGGAAGCGGCACCTCTGTGAGCCATCAACTGTCTCCAATCTGCTGGCATTCACAGGAGCATGCTGGGAGCCTGTCGGCTCTGCACATCAGCGGGCTTCTGTTGGCGCACTGCAGGGGATTGTGGGAAAAAAAGAGGGAATATTTTATCAAAGCCTCGGCACTCTCAGTTGGAGGACATATTAGCCTGTACGATCTATTTTATAGGCAACTATGAAAAGGATGTGATTTATACGTTTATATTTTTGCAGGCGATTATATAATACACCACATTAAATTTTATCCATCTGTTCATTTTCTGAAACTGCTTAATCCCAAATGGGGTTACAGGGGGGAACGGAGCCTATCCCGAGAGAAATGGGCTCAGGCAGGAACCAACCTTGGGCAGTCACCTACACACCACAGGGCGGACACACTCACAGAGCCAATTTAGACTCACCAATCAACCTATCCTTTCGGAACGAGGGGGGGAACCCGGAGCCCCCAGCAAAAACAGGGAGAGCATGCAAACTCCACACAGGAAGGACCCAGGACTGAACCCAGGCCCAACTTGTTGTGAGACAGCAGTTCTAACCACTGTGCCACCTATACAACTTCATGTGAAAAGAAACCAATTATGAAGATATCCACATGATTTATAAGTCTGACAAGCAAGGAGATGCAGAGTCCGTATTTTCCTAAAACTTATGTATCATGAAGCTTAAGTATTTAGGCCACAAAATCAGATGGGTGGAGATAGACATTTTTGAACAAGCTATATAGGTGCAGTGCATGGTGTTGGCCAGCAGGAGGCATGCTATACTTGCTGTGCTCCCGAGAGATCTCACCCATTTCTCATAAATGCCTAATTTATTCAGTGTGTAGTAACAACTTTATGGTCATTACTTAAATTACGTGTCAAAAAATTCTTTATAGGCTCCTTATATAATTACCTATCCATTATTATTGTCTATCCATCTTCTATAACTGCTTCTCCGGCAAAAGGTCATGGTGAGCATATCCCAGATATTTTGGGCTTTTGGGGGAAACCAGAGTATCCAGAGTAAGGCCATTCAAACTCCACACACGGAGCCATGCGTAGGAAGTGAACACACAGCCTTGGGAGACCACAGTGCTCACTGAGTTACCCAGAGCAACAGATCAGTCAAAGATACTCTTACCCACAATGCCTTGCAAACATAGCAAAGGTCAGACATTCTTAAAGGTAATTATTATCAGGGACTGGTCTAGGCAGAGGCAAACTAGGTAGCTGCCTAAGGCCCGATTGGCACAAAGGGGCCCAGACCAAGATATATAACATAATATAATAATATAAATATAATAATATATCATTAAAAAAAATGTAAATATATAATAAAATAATTAAACATTTTAATTTCATGTATTTGATTTTTATGTGCAGCCAGAAACATGGCCAGCTTTAGTTATAGGCTGAATAGGCAAGGACCACGAGCTACTTGGCTATGGAGGAAATGAAATGATCATCAATATTCTTGGTGAGGGGGCCTCCCAAGTAAAAGTTGGCCTGGGCCCCCTGAGAAAGCAGATCCAGCCCTGATTATTATAACATACGGTGATGGAGGAATTTCTGCTTTTTCACACCTGCTGCTCTTTCAATAAAGACGCGACAGAACCTCAGTAGCCTTTTTGTTCTTGATTAGTTTGGTTCGTGTTAAGCCTGAGACGGATGACAGACGATGAGAAAAGTCTCGCACTGTGCCCCTGGCGGGTCACGCCCCATCATGCCGGCCTGCCGTCTGGCTGAGGAACATCACTGTGCAGGAATCACGAGGTGGAGACCTTCCGTACCATCCTGGGTGACACTTCACCTTCACACCGGCACCGTGACCTGGGATAAACTCGCCGCTTATGATAGATTCTACCTGGGAATTCTCAGTCTCCTCTGGTTTGTGGCGCAACAGTGCCCCCTATAGGCAGGATCTCATCACAGCGTAACGGCAGATAATTCTCATCGCTCTGACCCACTATCCCAAGAGAAGCACCTGGAGAATTAGATTAGACATTAGTGACCTTTTTTCCCCTGCCTTTGTTGACTCCAGGCTTTTGTGCAGACAGCTGACTGTGACAAGAAGGGACTGCAGAAGGAGCCGGATAAATGTGTGGTGGTGGGGAGGGAGGGCTGCAGAGGCTAGCGCATGCGGGGGAGGTGACCTCTTCGAGAAAACAGTTTTGGAGACATGCTGCAGTAGAAAACACTTTGCTCTTTAAAACCTATATTTAATGCTTAAGCAATGAGAGGATCTATAGTCTTTTACATAAACTAGAGCCTGAGGTTTGGAAGGGGCCGGGGTGGGGTTAGCTAACAGTGCATTAGAGGATGACTGCGGGAAGCTGCATCATTACATCATCCGACAGGCCCCTGAACCTCAACGCTTCGGTGGCTAAGGCGAGGCACAGGATACAGGTACAAACTGATGGTAATCAGCATAGCCAGATTGCAGGTGATGTTATCGGAGCGTCGGAGAGGGCCCTCTGTCTCCGTGGAGCCATGTTCTGCCTGTGAGCTGCCTGATCCCCCCCCCCCCCCCCCGTGGGCCCCTTTTCTGCAGGTTCCTGTTTTGCAGGTGAGGAAGTGAGTGGGTTGGGGGCCGTACTGGCAGATGCACGACGTTCTGCAGAAGAAA